GTGTTAGATCTTATAATCAGAACCAATAAAATTAACTATAAAGCACCGACAAAAAAATACAAAATGATTGAGAGAAAACTATTTATCCAATTGTTCATTTTAGGAACATTAGCATTTATGTTTAATTTCATAGTTTGATGTGCTTAGATTTTATTTTGTTTTTGTGAAACCGTCAGAACTTACTGGCATAGGCACCAGATATGTGTCAGCTACATGCATAGTTAAATGAAGACTTTTCAACCTATGGCACACATGGCATGGAGAAGAGAGAGTCCAATCTTTATTTCTTATTTATTATTTATTATTTATTATTTCTTACATTTAGTTGCTACATGGATACACTTATCCATCTAGTTTATATTTTCTGCCTTTAGCAACATTCGCAAGTAAGCGCAAAGTTACAACACGTGCGGGTGCAAAATCTATTTACTCTTACACTCCAGCCTCTGCCATCCCCTCCTCCATGTTCATGTGGGACACTTGTCGTTGATTGAGACGGTGGTGTAGCCTGAGGAAGTGTGTCTCTTACGGCGTTGACGAAAATTATAAGCTTTTGACCATTTTTACAGTTGTCAACATTGCCACTAATAAAGAAAAAGTGACCCAACCTGTCCAAAAGGAAAGTTGAATTCCCACCGTCCATCTTATGAATGGGATTATTGTTGTTACATGAAAAATAATCCTATTTCTTCACCACCAGAACTGAATCATCCCCTGTCTTGTACTTAAAATCTGCATGCATCCAAAATAGAACATGAATATATATTAAAACCCTTTTATATATCCTTATTTCTATATAAAGATAAAATTAATATTATTAAACTTACATAGAATGCCATTGACATGAAACCTGTTTTCTTGAGCCCATTGATTGTAATATTCGGAAGGTTCCACAATCCAACCATCTTTACCACCAACAGAAAATTCCTTTGCTGCTGCTAGAGATGAGGATGATGAGCTAAAAAGCAACGTTGGTATCATCAAAAGCAAAAGCCCGAGAAATTGGTTAGATATTATATTACCAAATCCTACCATTTGCACACTGTAGAAAAAATATTGAAAGGAGATAATATATGAAGATTGAAAGGTGATATCTGACTGGCTATTGCTAAGAAGAGAATGCCATATATTGGGTGGGTGAGAGATATAATAATATATAAGGAATGAGGATTGAGAGGAGATAACTATCGTTGACTGGAGCATGGAAAATGCTTTCCAATGGGTTAAACATTTGTTGGAAATGGCATGAAATTATATAAAAATACATGTGTGTTGACTGATGAATATAATTTAATTTTATATATGTGGACTGATGACTTTAATATATTTTTAAAAGAATTATTAAAATAATATAATTTTTTCGGGAAAATAAGTAATATATTTTTAAAAAGAGAAAGTGAGTACAGGTGTAGGGTCTGATCATATTTGTGGGGTTGGAATGATTAAAAATAGTCAAATCATATTATTTTAATAAATTTTTTTAGAATTATATAATTATATTAATTATTCAGCCATAATTTCAAACAGTATTATATTAATTTACAGATGGCGACATCTTGGGGACTCAATGCTAATCCTTCTCTTAGTTTTTTGGGGTTTGAAAGATTAAAAAATAGTTAAACAAATTTTTCAATAATTTTATTAAAATTATTTTTTAAAAATATATGAAAATTGAGAGTAGGTAACCGCGTGCAGAAAAAATGGGAGAGTTACGTCCTCTTATTTGAAACAAAATAATAAAATTTAATAGAGATGGAGAAAATTTAAAGCTAACATTAATAATGAGAGAGAGAACAGGTCATTTAAACTTAGTGGAGAGAGAGAGAGAAGTTTTTAATTTTTTATTATTAAATTTAATGGAGAGAGAGAAGTTTTTAATTTTTTATTATGTTATTAATTTTTTATAATTAAATTTAATGGAGAGAGAGAAGTTTTTGATTTTTTATTATTAAATTTAATTGTATTAATTTAAAAAGAATAATATATTAAAGAAATCAATTTGTCCTATTTGAATGCAGTGACTTGGAAGTTTTTAGATATCGGAAATTGCTCATTCAGAATTCTTGCATCAGACAAACAAATGAAAATCCCATATACATATAGCTACTTTCACTGGGAAGTTCATTTTGGTAATTGAAACAATTCTGTATTTGCTCTATTCTATCATGTGTGAAATATATAAATTATTCTGATGGCTCCTCCTACAATTGTTTCAAAGACATTAATCATTTTTAAGGAAACAAAAGTGTAATAAGAGAAAAAGACAAAAAAAAATTACTGACTAAAAGTTTTGTAATTGAAGATACAAGGGATCCATATGCTAGTATAAAGATGTGCTACTTTCTTTCTAACTTAATTTTTTTTATGTCTTGTATTTACAAAAATTAAAATTGGATTTAGGAATTTAATTATAAAAATGAGTTGGTGGGCAGGGCGGGCAGGCACTCCGGGCCAAGCTCAATTTGAAACCTTTAACTATCAATATTTTACGTAATTAATTATTTTTTGCAAGGATTTATGTCCTTAGTATTTTGAATTTTACAAATTTATATTTACAAAAATTAAAATCTAATTTAAAAATTTAATTATAAAAGAATAATGATGAAGTTTTAATTTAATTAAAAAATAAGTTGGTGGGCATGCCCTCCAGGCCGAGCACAATTTGCCACCTATAACAGTCAACATTTTATACCAGCATGTAATATATTTTTATATTTATCTACACAAAATTGTTCTTATAGTTGCATCTAGATTAGTATATATCTATATTTTTTACAGTTGCCTTTAAATCGACTTTTTGTGGTCTGTGTATTAGTATATATCTTCATACGTTTAGTACTCTATCAAAACTTTATAGTTGAAGTTGAATAGGGTAATATCAAAAGACCATTCATTAGTTTAATTACATAATAATAAATATTATTAATAGTCTTAACAAAATATTATTAATAGACTTAACAATTTTCTATGCAGAAAGTTATAGTATTATTAATAGGTTTAACAATCACCTACAAAAAGTAGTGAGATATTAATATAGTTGTTTGACAACCAAAATTTCAAACTTTTTTTTCTCACCTATGAAGTTTAAATTTCAAATTTCAAATATTTTTATCTACTATAAATATATTTTTATAATTTAAATAAAAATTTTGTTTAATCTATAATTTTATATTAAAGTCAAATTTATTATAGAGTAAATACATTTTTTGGTCTCGACAAATTTCATGACACCCGTTTTAGTCCCTAGCAAATAAAAAGGCCCGTCGTGGTCCCTAAGAAATTCAAAATGGACCAATTTAGTTGAAATCGTGGTCCCTCACAAATTCAAAAAAGACCCATATTAGTCCCTAAAAGGAATAAAATGGGTCCATTTTGAACTTTTTAGGGACAACAATGGGCCTTTTATTTGCTATGGGCTAAAGCGGGTATCGTGAAATTTACTGAAGACTAAAAAGGGTATTTACTCTTTATTATATATAACTTTTTCCACTGCAGAAACATTAAATGTTGACCTTTTTTTCCATGTATATAATTTTTATTAATTATACATATTATTTTGAAAAACTAATTTTTTTATCTTTTAATTTATAATTTTTAGATTAGATATACATATTTATTTAAAATATCTATGTTAATTGTTTTTTAAAAAAATACTTGTACGAATTTTTTTCTCTTTTTGTATTATTTTTTAAGTTCAATTTTTTATTTATTTTCTTTTATAATATAAATGTGTTATTTAATATTTTTTAGCATTTAAATTTAATATTTTTTTATTTTTTAACAACTATACATGTATTTTTATATATAATTCTAAATATGTTTTCATTTGATCTATAATTTTTTATTAAATTTAAATTTGTTATATATATTTTTCCACTTTATCATAAGAACGTGTTGGCTTTTGTAAATAATATATGATCATTTTTAATTGACCGAATAAATTAAGCCCAAAACATAATAATAAAAACTATTAAATCTAACCATAATAATATATTTTCCAATAAATATTATAAATATACTTAACAATTCCAATGTAGAAAGCAGTGTTTAAAAACCCGGCTCGACCATCGACCTGACCGAGGTCAGGGATCATGGAGTCACGGATTCAACCGGGGGTCATGGGGCCACTATGCTGACCCGGTTTTATATATTAAAAATATATAAATATATATATCATATATAAAAATATTAAAAAACAAATCACTAATTATCAAAGATTCAAAATATACTTAACATAATTCTCTAATTACAACCACAAGTCAATATTACACGACCTAATTAAAGTATCAAGATACAAAAGTACAAAACTCATATTCTAATGGGATCAATACGCTGACGCGGTTCTGCCTCTTTGGAGAAGGTCCCTGACAAAGAAAAATTTAAAGGAAGTAAGAATGAATTTTTGTTTTCCATCGACGACCGTAAGAATTTCATTTGAATAGTTAAAATTCTTACCTTTTCTAGAAGATTCACGTCTACGAGGTGAAGATTGAAGAAATATAGGTCACTGGGAGAGAAGAGAACGATTAGATTTAGGTTTGCAAGCATTTTTATTTTTAATTTTTTAATAAAATGAAGTTGTTTCACGGAATTTTTTTTTTTAAAAAATAAACATGCAGTGACCCCCTTTGACCCCTCTGACCCGGGAGTCACTGAAACCCGGCCAGGTTTTGGGGGTCTGAAGGGTCGATATGCATATAGGGTCCAACTTGTGACCCTATCCCTTAGAGGGAAGGGGTCAGGGTTGACCCGGGTCAAACCGGGGGGTGGGGTGGGGTTTTAAAACACTGGTAGAAAGTACTGAGATAATAATACAACTATCTACAATATTTATAGAAAGTAATGAGATATTAATACACGTTTATAATACAAAAATGTGCATATGTACGTATATAATATTTAATGATATATAATTTGTTATCAAGTTGGGTTAACTAAGCCAGTCTTGTGATTTTTATTTTGTGGGAAATGAGACGATTGAGAGGATAGCAACATTCGGCATGATAGCAAGTTTCATGGTGTATTTGTTGAAAGTGTTCAATTTGAGTCAGGTTGGTGCTGCAAATGTTATCAGCATAAGATATGGAGTGAGCAATTTCATACCAATTATTGGTACTTCTGTTGCTGATGCCTATTTAGGAAAATTCAAAACCATTTCTATGGAATCATTTGGAACACTTGTGGTATGCTCTACTCCATTATATTGAAAACACATAGTACAATCGCTCATTGATTTGTTAATTTTAATTTGAAGACCTTAATTGTAAGCATCAATTTAGTTTCCCTGTGGTTTGGCCCCTGAGATTTCATTCCATCAACTTACAAATTCATAAATTTAATTAACCAAAGTCTCTTTATTCTCTTAGAGATTTTTTTGTAAGAACATGCACCGTTAATTAAGGAAGTTAATTAATTAATTATGTGAAATTAGGAAATAATTCCATAATTGACCCTAACAATTCTTACGAGGCTTAAATAATTATGGTAAGCGAGTAATAATGTTGAAAGTCATTTTTCTGACGAAAAATGCAGATACCGGTTCTGCTACTCGGTATAAATGCATACCGATGAAGTATTCCGGAAAATTATAATAAATGCATGAATATTCCTAGAATAATATATAGGACTGTGATTTCATGTTTCAAGTTAAAATAATGAGAATTGGTGCCAGAATTGATACTGGCTATAAAAAAGCGCGTACCGAAAAGATCCTGCGAAAAATATAATAAAAATATGATAAATCTTGTAAAAATGAGTAGGTTCAGAATCCTAAGTTTGGGATTAAAATGATAAGCGTAGCTATTAATGATAATACAGTGTGTTTAAAACTTAATGGGCTATATATATGCACGTTTGGCCCAAAACCCTAGGTGCCACTCTTTTCCTACGTGACTTGGAGGCTGACCAGCTCCTCTTCACACTGTTCCATTGCTTCACCACCCATTTTGTGAGCTTTGGAACCTCTTTTCTTCCATTTCTCTTCACTAAATACCTTGTGTGTGAGAGAAAGAGCATTGTGAGGGTGAAATGGGGTTGTGTTCTGGTTGTTCAGCCTCTGTTTTTGGTTGTTGAGGGACTGACCTTTGTTGTTTGGGTTATGGGAGCTTGGTGTTGGCATATTGTTTCTTCAAGAAGCAACCTTTGGAGAGAAGAGACCTTGTGTGTGCACCATTTTCGTGTTCTTGTGTGTGCTGAACTTTGGGAGCTTCAAGTGAGCTCCAAGAGCATCATCCATTTCTGTTTTGAGCTTGGGGTATGATCACCACCTTTGTTCTTGAGCTTTCTTTGTTAAAAATGGAACCTTGATGCATGTAATGATCTAAAGTTAATAACTTGGGGTTGGGTAATGCTAAACACACTTAGAAATGCATGTTTAAGCTTCTGTAATCGGTAAAAGTTGAACCATTGGATTGATATCTCGCAAAATGCAGAATCTGAGTTCTGCCGCGAAATATCCGGATATTGGCAGACAGATATTCGGATATTGATATCTAGATATGCCCCCGACAAATATCCGGATATTCTGGGTTTTCGAAGAACAGTAGCTTACTGTTCATACAGAACAGTGTTATGGGTTTGTGGACCCTAGTTTGAGGAAGTTGAACTTCTGTAATAAATATCTAAGTCAGAATCTAAGTGATTAAGGGCTTGTGGCTTTGTGAGAAGCCTAAAGACATGAAACGTAAAGGAAAGGTGTTGTCTTTATGTTGTATGCTTGAAGAGTATTATTGATATGTTAATTGGTCCGTAACAGATTGTGATTCTGCTGTGTTTGGACTTTGAGCTTGTGTGTACTCTTGTATTGGATAGTTAGCTTAAGAGGTAAGCTTTCGTGTCCTCGGTTTAGCCATTGTTGGTTCCACCATACCCCATGGGGGAATGGTTTATATGCATGCTGTGTTATATGCTTTGATATTTGAAATGCTTTTGAGCTGATATGTGCAATGACTTATGATATGTATGTGGTGTTCACCCGATGGGATGGAATCCTAAGGGTAGGTACGACATTGGGCGTGTACTGTGTGGGTAGTAGACATATTCCTGCATTTCTCTGGCCAGTAGAATAGTATTAACACACATGACATGATTATCTGCTGCATTGCACTGATTTAGAAATGATATTGTTAAAATGCTTTTGAACTTATATTGCACATGTAAGTGAGCTTGGGGTGGAAGATCCTTGAGGACCCCTTGCCTTACTGAGATTTCTGGTTTAGAGATCTCACCTCATGTTTGGGGACGCTTATTTCAGGTTCAGGTAACTTGGGGGCTGATGCCTCTAGCGACAGGAGGCCGAAGCTTAGCTGATATTGTTGTTTATATGCTGACATGTTTGGATGCTGGATTATACTTGCTGATGTTAAGCTTTTAGCTTGCTTTTATTATGTTGCTGTTGTTGAGACTGTTGTTGGGCTTTGTGCCTTATTTGGCGAGCATGGGGTTTGTCCATGCCGCTTTGATCTTAGTATTGTTTAGCTTGAGTTGTATAAACTATCAGGGTTGTCCGGTCTACGTGTTGTAGTTCCATGACTAGAGACATATTAATGTTATTTCTTTACTGAGGTATTTCAGTTAGCTGTCTTTTGCAATTTGCATATAGGCCATGTTTTGAAAATGATTAAGTAATCAAGTTGGTAATGAATAATGACGTCATAATTGAAAAGAAAAAGTTATTCCGCATTTTTAATTAAGCGCAGCTTAATACGATGATATGATAACAAACCAGATATATACGGGGTGTTACATTTTATGGTATCAAAGCAATGGTTCGAGGGAAAAGCATGTATGTATTGCAATAACTAGGATGCTTGGTTGTGTCTGTCTTGTGTGTTTGCTCCGTTGAGTGTTATTATGATGATGCATATGTGATCACATTGTGTGGGCCTGATCAACTCATAATTTGTGTAACTTGTGCAGAGTCATGGTAATACCCAGGAGAACTCGCGAGACTGCTGAGGGTCAACCCGACCCAATCCTGACTGCATTGGCTGAGATGCAGGAGGCCACTAGATTGGCCAATGTGGCAATGATGCATGCCGTTCGAGAGACGAACCAGAAGGCCACAGAGGATGCTCTTGAGGTAAACCGGCTAGCGAACATGACCATGATGAGGGTCATGCTGGAGGAAATTAGGGTTGGTCCTGCTATTGGCCAGTATCCTCTGCCACCACCTCCACCGCCGCCTCCACCTAGTGTTCAGGAGGAGAGCCTGAATCACATTGGTAATGCTACTCATGTCACTGGGGTGATGGAACTCTACTTTGAGCTTGCTGAGGACCGTGACGTGATCGACCGTAGGCTGAATGCTTTCCGAAAGCATAAGCCACCTTCCTTTGTTGGGTCTTATGACACTATTGCTGCAGCGAGATGGCTACGGGCGTTGGACAAGATCTTCCGGGTCATGCAGTGTGTTGATTCGCAGAAGCTGATGTTTGCAATGTATATGCTGGAGGGCGATGCCCATGAGTGGTGGATGAACACCTCTCACGCTTTTGAGATGCAGGGTCATGTTATGACATGGCCATTCTTCGAGAATTGCTTTCTGGGTCGGTACTTCCCGTATGATGCACAGGAGAGGAAGCAGGGGGAGTTCAACAGGTTGGTGCAAGGCTCATTGTCTGTTGACGAGTACCTGACCAAGTTTAATGAGCTGGTAAAGTTTGCACACTTTCGGATGGTTTCGCCTACTCCGATGTTCTTGGCTGCTAAGTTCCGTAGGGGACTTAGCGAGGAGATAACAGATCGTCTTGCTGGAGCAGCTTCGAGAGACTTCGGGACACTCTTGCAGCAGTGTCGGGACATCCAGGATGTCTGCATTACGAGTAAGGCCAAGAGGGCCAAGGTTGCTGAGACGAAGGGGACGGGTAGTTCCACTTCCACTTCCTGGAAGGACAGGAAGTTTGGTCCGAAAGGGAAGGGAAAACAGTTTGCAACTAGGCAGGCGCCTCGTCAGTTCAATAGGACTACTTCTTCACAGCAGGGAAGTTTTACGAGGCCTCCTTTCACTCCTAGATGTTCGCAGTGCGGAAAGGAGCATGCGAGACGTTGTGCTACGGGGCAGCTGATTTGTTTCCAGTGTGGCAAGGAGGGCCAATTTTCCAGAGACTGTCTGTCGTCAACGGCGAAAGCTGCTGTGGTGCAGGAGGTTCCGTTGCAGATGGTTGCCCTGGCACCTACTTCGGCACCTGCATTGCCACCTGCTTCTAGACGTGTGTACACGTTGGATCGCCAGCAGTCGGATAGAGCCCTGAACCTTGTCAGAGGTACTGTGTCTATTGGTGATTCTTCGGTTGATGTTTTGTTTGATTCCGGGGCTACACATTCTTTTGTTGCAACCCCGATTGCTTTGGGGCTTGAATTGCCCAGTGCTGTGATTTCTCCACCGTTGTGGGTGACTACCTCCACCGGAGAAAAGTATGAGACCTCCACTGTACATCGAGATGTCGTGTTTCAGTGGGATGGCCGTGACTTCTCGGTAGATCTGATAGGATTGCCGATGGCTAATTTGGAAATCATCCTTGGCATGGATTGGTTGTCCAAGAATTGTGTTATGTTTGACTGTTGTGCCAAGCGCGTGGTGATGTCTCCGTGTGATTCTGCAGCCAGTTCCTCGCCATATATTTCATTCCTGCAGGCTAGGAAGGCCTTGAGAGATGGGGCATTCGATTATGTCATGTTGGGAGGTTTGGTGAGTGGGACACAAGAGGATATCACTGGCATTCCTGTGGTGAGGGAATTCCTCGGAGTGTTTCCTGAGGAGATTCCTGAGTTTCCGCCACAGAGGGAGATAGAGTTCTCCATTGATTTGTTGCCTGGTGTAGGGCCTATTTCCTTAGCTCCATATCGGATGTCGCCAACGGAGTTGCCTGAGCTGAAGAAGCACATTGAGGATCTTTCAACGAAAGACTTCATTCGACCGAGTGTGTCTCCATGGGGAGCACCGGTCATCTTTGTGAAGAAGAAGGACGGGACAATGCGATTGTGCACCGACTACCGGTAGTTGAACAAGGTGACGATCAAGAACAATTTTCCCATCCCTCGTATTGATGATCTATTGGATCAACTCATGGGTGCTTGCGCGTATTCGAAGATTGATCTCCGGTCCGGATACCATCAGATTCGGGTGAAGCCGGAGGATGTCCCTAAGACCGCGTTTCGTTCGAGATACGGTCACTTTGAGTATTTGGTGATCCCGTTTGGACTCACCAATGCACCCGTAGTGTTCATGGATTACATGAACAGGATTTTCCAGCCGTATCTATATCAGTTTGTGATCATTTTCATTGACGACATTTTGATTTACTCCAAGACTGAGGAGGAGCATGCGGAGCATCTAAGGATTGTTCTGCAAGTGCTGAAGGAGAAAAAGCTTTATGCTAAGCTGATGCTCACCGACAAGTATACTGATCGCACAAGTAAATCTCAATCCCTTGGCAATCTAACCCTTTAATTCAATTGAAATCCTAATCCCTTAGCAACCCCGCATGAAATTAAGCATTAATCACGATAAATCAAACGACTGCAACTCACATAAGTCTATCCCTAGAGCATAAAAAATTTTTACCTTACCCCGTTTCAGAATCAAAAACCCCAATATTTCTATTGCAAGCCCTAATCCCGAATTATTATCTCCTATTAGGTTGATCAAGTCTAACAGAAATAATATCAATATGCACAGGGTAAAAATAAAATATATTAAATAAACGAGCGAAAATAATCAATCCAGCGTAAAAAGGGTTCACATAGGGTTTGTGACCCTAACTACAATAAAAGAAATTAGCCAGCCATAGACATGGCTGACATAAAATTATAAAATAGAATTCAAAATAAAATTAATAGGAGGAACAAAGAATGATCCTCTACTCTTCTCTTCCTCACGAATCCTTGTTCTGCTCCATCGTCAAAAAGTCCCTCCTAAAGAACCCTCGCAGCGTCCTTTTAAGTTCGAAATTGCCTCCACGCTGAAGTCCGTACGGGTAGCGCCATTCTGGCGCGGGTCTCGCGCCAAATCCCTGGTCTCTGTATTTTTCCGGCGCAAAAGTGGCGCGGGTAGCGCCACTTTCCTTTTTCAATTTTTCTCAATTTTCCTATTTCTTCTTGCTTTAACCTGCAAAAATGATATAAAAGATGAAAAATAAACTGAAATAGGAAAACTAACTAATAAAAGTAATTAATATACAAGAAATGCTCTTTTATGACTGATTTCTTATTATTTTTTGTTTGGAAAACATCATAAGCCTTCTAAGTGTGAGTTTTGGCTCAAGTCAGTCAAGTTCCTTGGGCATGTGATTTCAGCTGAAGGAGTTGCCGTGGATCCCAACAAGTTTGAAGCCGTGCTAGATTGGGAGAGGCCCCAGACGGTTACGGAAGTTAAGAGTTTCTTAGGTTTGGCAGGTTACTACTGGAGGTTCATCAAGGGATTCACCACGATGGTTCTCTCTTTGACTCGCCTTACCCGAAAGGAGACTCCATTTGTGCGGACTCACGAGTGTGGGGAGTGCTTTCAGGAGTTGAAGGAGAGATTGACTATTTCACCTGTGTTGATCCTTCCTGATCCTGAGGAGCAGTTTGAGCTTTACTGTGATGCTTCTGGAAAGGGGTTGGGCTGTGTTTTGATGCAGTCTGGTAGAGTTGTTGCTTTTGCTTCAAGGCAGTTGAAACCTTATGAGGAGAACTACCCAACTCATGATTTGGAGTTGGCTACGATTGTGTTTGCTTTCAAGATTTGGAGGCATTATCTCTTTGGTATGCAGTTCGCCGTGTTCAGTGACCACAAGAGCTTGAAGTATTTGTTAGATCAGAAGGAGCTGAACATGAGAGAAAGAGGATGGATGGAGTTTCTGAAGGACTACGACTTTGAGTTGAAGTACCATCCTGGCAAGGCCAACGTGGTAGCCGATGCTCTGAGTCAAAAATCTGTGAGTCTATCCAGTTTGACGATGGGTGACTTCAACTTCATAAAGAAGTTTCGAGACCTGAAGGTGACTTCCTTGTTTGGGGTGCACTTCTCGAGATGGAGACTGTGAGAGTCAAGAATGAGCTTATGGAGAAAATCAAAGAGGCGCAAATGCAGAGAGAGTGCCTGGACTACGTGAAGAACCAAGACAGTGTGTCTTGGAATGACGATGGACTTCTGTTGTTTCAGAAGCGGATCGTGATTCCTCGAGGTCCTTTGACCGAAGAGGTTATGGTTGAGGCCCATAAGGGCCAGTTTACTGTCCACCCTGGTGCGACAAAGATGTATCAACACCTGACGAGAAATTTATGGTGGCCAGGAATGAAGAAGGACATAGTTGTGTATGTGTCCAAGTGTTTGATTTGCTAGAAGGTGAAGATAAAACACCAAAAGCCGTCTGGTAAACTTCAACCTCTTGAGATTCTAGAATGTAAATGGGAGAGCATTTCCATGGACTTCGTGGTGGGTTTGCCGAAGACTCAGGTTGGCTGCGACTCTATATGGGTCATTGTGGACAGATTGAGAAAGTCTTCCTACTTTCTTCCGATTAAGGTGAGCTTCACTACAGAGCAGTTGGCCAAATTGTACGTTCGCGAGATCGAGAGGCTTCACAGGGTGCCCGAGAGTATCATCAGTGATAGGGACCCGAAGTTCACATCTCGGTTCTGGGAGGCGCTGCAAAAAGCTTTTGGAACTCAGTTGAGACTGAGTACAACCTATCACCCTAAGACTGACGGACAGACTGAGCGTACCATCCAGACCGGGGAGGACATGTTGAGGGCTTGCACGTTGGAGCAGGGTTCAGCATGGGATAGGTACCTTCCGTTGGTTGATTTTTTGTATAACAACGGTTTCCATGCTAGCCTGGGCATGGCACCCTACGAGGCGTTGTATGGTAAGAGGTGTCGTACTCCTACCTACTGGTCTGAGGTTGGGGATCGTGAGTTGTTCGGCTTGGACTTTGTCCAAGATACCACCCTGCAGATCCAGATGATCAGGGAAAAGCTGAAGCAGGCGCAGAATCGCCAGAAGAGTTACTACGATGTCAAGCATCGTCCACTAGACTTCAGTGAAAGTGAGAACGTGTTTGTGAGACTTTCACCTGTCACCGGTGTTGGACGGGCACTCGGAGTGAGGAAGCTGAGCCCGCGGTTTATTCGGCCCTACCAGATCCTTGGTAGAGTAGGACCTGTTGCCTACCGGCTTGCCTTGCCTCCGAACTTGGCCAACATCCACGACGTGTTTCACGTGTCTCAGCTTCGCAAGTATGTAGCGGATCCTTCGCACGTGGTGCAACCAGATGATGTGGAGGTTCGGGAGAACTTAAAGACTCCCGTCGGACCGCTCAAGATTCTCGATCGTGGCGAGAAGCAGCTGAGGAGCAAGATCATTCTGATGGTCAAAGTGCAATGGTCAGGAAGAACTCCTGAGGAGTGTACCTAGGAGCGAGAGGACGAGCTTCTCCTCCAGTATCCCGATTTTTGAGACAGGTATATTCTGATTTTGAGGACAAACTCCTAAAAAGGTGGGGTGAATGTAAGAACTTGCACCGTTAATTAAGGAAGTTAATTAATTAATTATGTGAAATTAGGAAATAATTCCATAATTGACCCTAATAATTCTTATGAGGCTTAAATAATTATGGTAACTGAGTAATAATATTGAAAGTCACTTTTCTGACGAAAAGTGCAGATACCGGTTCTGCTACTCGGTATAAATGCGTACCGATGAATTATGCCGAAAAATTATAATAAATGCATGAATATTCCTAGAATAATAAATAGGACTGTGATTTCAAGTTTCAAGATAAAATAATTAGAACTGGTGCCAGAACTGAAACTGGCTATGGAAAAGCGCGTAGCGGAAAGATGCTGCGAAAAATATAATAAAAATATGATAAATCTTGTAAAAATGAGTAGGTTCAGAATCCTAAGTTTGGGATTGAAATGCTAAGCGTAGCTATTAATGATAATACAGTGTGTTTTTAAAACTTAATGGGCTATATATATGCATGTTTGGCCCAAAACCCTAGGTGCCACTCTTTTCCTACGTGACTTAGAGGCTGACCAGCTCCTCTTCACACTGTTCCATTGCTTCACCGCCCATTTTGTGAGCTTTCGGACCTCTTTTCTTCCATTTCTCTTCACTAAATACCTTTTGTGTGAGAGAAGGAGCATTATGAGGGTGAAAGGGAGTTGTGTTTTGGTTGTTCAGCCTCTGTTTTTGGTTGTTGAGGGACTGACCTTTGTTGTTTGGGTTGTGGGAGCTTGGTGTTGGCATATTGTTTCTTCAAGAAGCAACCTTTGGAGAGAAAGGACCTTGTGTGTGCACCATTTTCGTGTTCATGTGTATGCTGAACTTTGGGAGCTTCAAGTGAGCTCCAAGAGCATCATCCATTTCTGTTTTGAGCTTGGGGTATGATCACCACTTTTGTTCTTGAGCTTTCTTTGTTAAAAATGGAACCTTGATGCATGTAATGATCTAAAGTTAATAACTTGAGGTTGGGTAATGCTAAACACACTTAGAAATGCATGTTTAAGCTTCTGTAATCAGTAAAAGTTGAACATTTGGATTGATATCTCGCAAAATGCAGAATCTGAGTTCTGCCGCGAAATATCCGGATATTGGGTTAGAAATATCCGGATATTAATATCCAGATATGCGGTTCTGAGATATCCGAATATGGATATCCGGATATTGGCAGACAGATATCCGGATATGCCCCCGAAAAATATTTGGATATTTTGGATTTTCGAAGAACAGTAGCTTACTGTTCATACAAAACAGTGTTATGGGTTTGTGGACCCTAGTTTGAGGAAGTTGAACTTCTGTAATAATTATCTAAGTCAGAATCTAAGTTATTAAGGGCTTGTGGCTTTGTGAGAAGCCTAAATACATGAAACGTAAAGGAAAGATGTTGTCTTTATGTTGTATGCTTGTAAAGTATGATTATTGATATGTTAATTAGTTCACAACAGATTGTGATTCTGCTGTGTTTGGACTTTGAGCTTGTGTGGACTCTTGGATTGGATAGTTAGCTTAAGAGGTAAGCTTTCGTGTCCTCGGTTTAGCCATTGTTGGTTCCACTATACCCCATGGGGGAATGGTTTATATGCATGCTGTGTTACATGATTTGATATTTGAAATGCTTTTGAGAAGATATGTGCAATGGCTTATGATATGTATGTGGTGTTCACGCGATGAGATGGAATCTTAAGGGTAGGTACGGCATTGGGCACGTACTGTGTGGGTAATAGACGTATTCCTGCATTTCTCTGGCCAGTAGAATAGTATTGACACACATGACATGATTATCTGCTGCATTGCACTGTTTTAGAAATGATATTGTTAAACTGCTTTTGAACTTATATTGCACATGTAAGTGAGCTTGGGGTGGAAGATCCTTGAGGACTCCTTGCCTTACTGAGATTTCTGGTTTAGAGATCTCACCCCACGTTTGGGGACGCTTATTTCAGGTTCAGGTAACTTGGGGGGCTGATGCCTCTAGCGGCAGGAGGCCAGAGCTTAGCTCATATTGCTGTTTATATGCTGACATGTTTGGATGCTGGATTATACTTACTGATGTTATGCTTTTAGCTTGCTTTTATTATGTTGCTTTTGTTGAGACTGTTGTTGGGCTTTGTGCCTTACTTGGCGAGCATGGGATTTGTCCATGCCGCTTTGATGTTAGTATTGTTTAGCTTGAGTTGTATAAACTATCAGTGTTGTCTGGTCTACGTGTTGTAGTTTCGTGACTAGAGACATAGTAATGTTATTTATTTAATGAGGTATTTCAGTTAGTTGTCTTTTGCAATTTACATACAGGAAATGTTTTGAAAATGATTAAGTAATCAAGTTGGTAATGAATAATGACGTCATAATTGAAAAGAAAAAGACATTCCGCATTTTTAATTAAGCGCTGCTTAATACGATGATATGATAACAAACCGGATATATACGGGGTGTTACATTTTTCTTCTTAGTTAAATATTTGAAACATTATAATAAATTGACAAAGTTTCTTCTTCTTAATTAACCCATGGCTTCTTAGTCAAATCTTCACCCACATTATAATAAACTGAATTTAATGATAATTGCTACTGCTTTCTTGATTATATGCATAGGTGAGCATCAATTAATCATTTGCTGGTGATTAATTAGGGAATGGTGGTGCTAACACTTATAGCATAGGTGCCATAATTTCTTCCTCCAAATTGTACTTCTAGGCAGCAAGCTTGTGTTCTCCCAATGACTACTTAGTTTGCCATCTTAATTTTGGGGCTGCCCTAACTGGGTATAGGCACAGGTGGAATTAGACCATGCAGTATTCTCTTTGCCATTGATCAATTTGACCCAACTTCCCTTGATGGAAGGCAAGGAGTCAGCAGATTCTTAAATTGGTACTACACCACACAGACACTGGTCATGTTGATCAATAAACTATAATAGTTTACAAGGAATGATCCGTTTACAAATTTTTTATACAAATTTTTACAAATGTAACCTAGTGTATTTCCGGAAGTACATAGTATAGTTCATAAGAGTTTGTAAACAAAAAGTTGATAAATATGACCCTTCCTTTTATTAAATATATTTACTCAAATTTAATTCAATTTATTTAACCAATGATTATTTGATTGAATCAGTGACCATTGACAAGTACCCCAATTGAGTCATGATCGGGTTTAACAATGCTGCTCATAAATGTAAACCTACAAAAGTAAATTAAAAATTTCAAGTTTGAATTTCTGGGAATAAAAAAATATATTTTGAAACAGTATTTGAATTGAATTAATCCTAATAGAGAAAAAAAACTGAAACGGCCAACATAAAATAGTTACGATTTTGTAGTAAATTTTCTTACACCTATATTACGGATCTCATTTATAGATTAGTAGTCCAAGAGGCAACTTATGAAGTACCGACACTTCAAAGATCATGACGTGTCGTGTCCGATACTTTCCGACAACACGCGTTGTAGATCTACGAATTGTTTTAGTACTTCAAAAGCCTTAATAAATGCTTTTAATTTCTTTCTTTCTTTTTGGATAAATGCTTACAATTTTTTCCTATTCAACTATGTTAAAAATGTGAAAAAGTGTAAAGTTATCTAGTCTCAAAATAATATCGTTTTGAGATTTAAAATAAAAAATAAAGGGTATTTTAATAAAATGCATGTTACGATTAGAAAATAAAATTTTTAAAATACTTTTTTATTTTTTATTTTTTATTCTAAATTCTAAAACAACATCATTTTGAGATTACGTGATATAATTTTATCACGGCAAAAACCATTTTTCCCTTTATATATAATTCTTAATATTTTAATGTTACTTTATATGATCATGGTATCGTGTATCTTTTTCTAACTTCGTTTTATTTTGTAGCATTCTGCGTGTATCGCATGAGTGGTAATCAAACTTTTAACTTTCTTCTCAAACAATATTTTCTTTTCTTTGTTCTTGTTTATTATATTAGAGATTTACCTTTCCCATTTCTTGTGCTGTATCCAAAACGAATTGGTAACCTTCAAGAGCACTAAATACCAGTACAGCCGGTTAAAGTTTACCAAAATTCAGGGAAAGTACCTCTTACGTTTATCTTTAACTTTCTCACTTTTCATCAAAACTCGCTGTCTCTCATCTCTTGTCTTTTCATGTCTATGACACGTAGAGGATGCATGCATTCATGATCAGTTTCTGAAGTAATTGCCCATAGACTTACGCATTAGCAAACATGTATAATTTAAGTTCATATTTATTACTGCAAGAAATATCATTATAACATATTGTCTTCATCTGATTGCTGACATGCATACGTTTCCTTTCCTAATGCTCCTTCTGGGAACCATAAGAATGAAAGGAGCCTAGTTGAAGTCATATATATACACATACAAAGGAGACGTTGGTTAAAAATAATGGAAGAGGAGAATAAGAGAAAAGAGACAAGATCTTTATGGTCCTACTGTTGCAGGAATTGGAATTCAAGAAAGTCAACTAAAGAAGATGGTTTGGATTTTATAAATGCAAGGACAATAGAGAGAAAACCCGGATGGAAGGCCATTCCTTTCATCTTAGGTACTGTTTTAACACAAAATGCATGTATATATATTTTTTATTGATATGCAATTTGTTATCAAGTTGAATTAGCTAAGCCGGTTTTGTGATTTACAGCAAATGAGACGATTGAGAGGATAGCAACATTCGGCATGACAGCAAATTTCATGGTATATTTGTTGAAAGTGTTCAATTTGAGTCAGATTGATGCTGCAAATGTTCTCAGCATATGGTATGGAGTGAGCAGTTTCATACCAATTATTGGTGCTTCTCTTGCTGACGCTTATTTAGGAAAATTCAAAACCATTGCTGTGGCATCATTTGGAACACTTGTGGTATGTTCTACTCCATTATATTTAAAGCACAATAATCGCTCACTGATTTGTCAATTTTAAAATGAAGAACTTAATTGTTAGCGTCAATTTTAGTTTCCTTTTGGTTTAGCCCCTGAGATTTCATTCCCTCAACTTACAAATTCGTAAATTTAATTATCCAAAGTTTCTTTATTCTCTTAGATATTTTTCTTCTTTGTTGAATATTTGAAACATTATAATAAATTGACAAATTAAAAAGACCGTGGCGGAGGAGGGGTTTGGATGTGCGCACAAAATTCATTCAATTTTTTTGTCTTTAATTGAGAGTTTGATTTTTTATTAAACCAATGACTTTGAGTGTATGACTGATTATACTAAATATAATTTGTAAAAAAAATTATAAACAGGTCATTCCACTGATATAAATAAGAAGTCTTCGGTTGACATAAGAGGATTAGTAAAAAAAAAAAAACACCAAGGAAATAACAAATACTTCGATAACAAAATCACAGTTGAGCAAAGTGATAATAGGTCAGGGGCAAACCGAATTTAACGATAGTTGTTACTGCAATCTTGATTATATGAATGGGTGAGCGTCAATTAATCCTTTTCTGGTGATTAATTAGGGAATGGTGATATTAACACTGACAGCATGGGTGTCACAATTTCATCCTCCAAGTTGCTCTTCACGGCACCATGTATGTGTTTCCCCAAATACCAATCAACTTGCGATCTTAATTTTGGGGCTATCTTTGTTGGGTATAGGCACAGGTGGAATTAGACCATGCAGTATTCCTTTTGCCATTGATCAATTTGACACAACTTCCCCTGATGGAAGGAAAGGAGTCAGTAGTTTCTTAAATTGGTACTACACCACACAGACACTGGTTCAGTTGATCAATAATACTATAGTAGTTTACATCCAAAACAAAAATTGGGTCATTGGTTTTGGGATACTAGCCCTTCTCATGTTATGTGCAATAATCACATTTTTTGCCGGAACAAGAACTTACTTTTACCAGCCAGCAGAAGGGAGCATATTTTCTGGTATTGCACAAGTGTTTGTTGCAGCTTACAAGAAGCGCCACCTCAAAAACCCAGCAAATGAAGAGGAAGTTGTTTACTATGATCCCCCACTAAGAGATGATAAAGCAGTCAAGATACCTTTAAGCAAACAACTTAGGTAATGTTCGTCAATCTCACTTGTGTGTTTTAATATTTACTCCTCATCTAATTAAGGACAAACTTTTTTGGTAACTTTAATTTTTGCACAGGTTTCTAAACAAAGCCGCTCTGATACAAGACAATGAAGTTAATGCAGAAGGTTTGGTCACAAATCCATGGAGTCTTTGTAGCATTCAACAAGTTGAAGAAGTCAAATGTGTGATTAAAATTATACCAATCTGGGCTTCTGGTATCTTGTGTTTGATACCAATGGCACAAGGAGGAATATTTCCTGTAATCCAGGTCATGAAAATGGATCGACACCTTGGACCACACTTTGAAATTCCTGCTGCATCATTCAGTATAATATCCTTAATCAGCATTGGTATATGGCTCCCTTGTTATGACCTCTTTGTGCAACGAGCTCTAGCAAAATTCACAAAACAAGAGGAAGGATTGACAAGCCTTCAAAAGATAGTAATTGGTAACATCTTCTCAATTCTTACAATGGTAAGTGGTGGTTTGGCGGAGTGGCGAAGAAGGAGTGTGGCTATCTCACACGGTGCACTTGATGGGGTTACACCAATGTCTGCCATGTGGCTTGCTCCTCAATTTGCCTTTTTAGGATTGTGCGAGGTATTTAGCATTGTTGGACACATTCAATTCTACAACAGTGAATCGCCAGAGAATATGAAAACTCTTGGCAATTCCTTGCAACCTCTTGTGGGTGGCTTCGCAAGTTACGCTGGTGTCTTGGTAATGAACATTGTGCACAAAGTGACACGAAAGCATGGCAAAGTAGATTGGCTGAACAATGACATCAACGCTGGCAGATTGGATTACTATTACTTCGTCATAGCAGGACTCGGTGCACTCAATCTTGTCTACCTCCTCTTCTGTGCTAAACGCTATCGTTACAAAGTTATTGTGAAAGCACAAGTCATGGGCACACCTTGAGATATATGCAAAAATTAACTAGATAAATAAATCCTCAACTACTTGAGAATAATAAGCACAATAAAGAAGTGTTGTGACTAGTTTATTTTGATGTCATTTTATCGAACTCAACAAAGTATGCAAGAGATTATATTTATACTAGCTAAGATATAATAGTAGCCTAATGAATATATATTATCATAAAATCTGAAATAACTAGTTTATATATGTTCAGGTGTGATTTTGTAACAATGCGTAGTATTTTTAAATAAACTAACATATTTTATACCAATTATTTTTCATAACAAGTGATAAGTTGTTTGTCACCTGTCTATTAATTAATCCTTTTATACCCCACACACCATTGTGAGGTTGATCCCCCCCCCCCCCCCCCAAACGTGTTCTTGTCTTTGTTTATTTTAGAGCTTTGATATGTAAAACATGATTAAGGCTATATTGATAAAAAATAAATTACAAACTACATTATGTCTGATACAATAGTAACAAAAGAAGAGCAATTAGAAGAGGAGGATCAAATAAAAGAACAAAGCATTGCACAAAGGAAAGGGACACGTGTGAAGAAAATACCAATAAGGTTCAGAGATGACGTGTAGACATTAGGTAGTTACACATTGTTGTATTGAAAGTGACGTGTAAAGAAAGAGAGGGAAAGGTAGAGTTAGTGGAAAAGTGGTTAGAGGTAGTTGGAGTATAAGAATACAGATCAGTGATATACATTGTATCTTTGATGAAATTCAATAAACCGAAGCATTCTTTTCTCATCTTCATTCTCTGATTTCTTTCTTCTCTTCTCCAATTCTGTTGATTTTCCTTAATAGTAGAGACACTCTCTACCAATTGGTGCTTTTAATCTTGAGCTATGGCTCCTGAAACTCGTTCGCAACCCATGGAGGATAGGTGGGAGAACACACAAGCTGAAGTCGATGTGTTGAAGGAGCATATGAACAAGCGTTTTCAGGAAATAACTTGTAAACTGGATGCCATTTTTGATAACTACAGAGACAAACAATCATCACCGAGTGGTTCCACAAATCAACCACATGCATCCAGAGATCATGTAGCAGCGAAGAACTTGAGGCTCAAGGTTTCACGGTATGATGGATTAGTAGATCCACAGGGTTGGATCTACAGAATCAACCAATTTTTTGATTTCTATGATATGGAAGAGGAACAGCGATTGAAGATTGCTCCTTTTTACTTTGAAGGAAAAGCCTTAAAATGGTACCAGTGGTTCCACAAGAACTCCACCATTGATTCATGGCCCAAATTTCTTCAATCATTGCAGATCCGATTTGGTCCATCCGAAATGGAAGATTATCAAGGTCAATTGACCAAATTGCTGCAAACAGGAACGGTGTTGGAATACCAAGAACAGTTTGAACACTTGTCCAACCAGGTTGATGGTTTATCTGAATCCTTTCTGGTGAGTTGCTTCATTTCAGGATTAAAAAAAGATATTCAACATGATGTTTCTGCTTTTAGACCTTCCTCCTTATCCCATGCAATGTCTTTAGCTAAGATCCACGAATCCAAACTACTCCTCAAAACTAACCCACCCAAATTACATTCCTCTTACCCTCCATTATTACCTACACCACAATCACGTTTCCATCAAACCACAAACACAACTAAACCTTTTGTTCCAAATACCACACCTACCCAAAATCATCCTCTGACCCATAAACTTACCCAAAGCCAGATGCAAGAAAGGAGAGATAAGAACTTGTGTTTTTATTGTGGGGAGAAATATTTCAAAGGTCACAAATGCAAAGCTTCCGTGCATCTGTTGATAGTTCCTGATGAAGAGAATGTTGATTGTGGGACTCTTTCAACTCATGAACACAGTGAAGATCCTCCACCCCTACATATGGAACCGATTGAGATGGATACACCACAAATCAGTATGCATGCTTTATCTGGTTTTGTAGTTCCTCAGACATTACGTTTTAATGGTTTTATTGGGAAATCAGAAATCCTTTTGTTAGTTGATGGTGGAAGTACTCACAATTTTGTCCAACCTCGAGTAGTCTCAGATCTTCAGTTACCTATACTGACTGACAAGCAATTTGATGTCATGGTGGGTAATGGTCAAATCCTTAAGTGTGAAGGATTTTGTTCTGCAGTACCAGTCCAAGTACAACAACATGTTTTCCTTGTAGACTGTTATGTGTTACCTATTCAGGGTGCAGATTTGGTACTTGGGGTTCAATGGTTGCAGCTGCTGGGACCTATTGTACTGGACTATCAAAAATTATCAAAGGAATTTTCTTGGGAAGGAGAATCTATTCAGGTTGGGGTTCAAGGGTTCAATTTTACTGTTGGTGAGTTGGTTTGGGGGAAACTTCAATCGTAAAGGCAAACATCTGTTGCAGATCGGATGTCCAACAAACTTTCTCATAGGTATTTTGGCCCATTTCATATTCTTAAGAAGGTTGGCAAGGTCGCTTACAAGTTGGACTTACCACCTACTGCTAAAATTCATCACACTTTTCATGTGTCATTATTGAAGCCATTTAAGGGAGATCACAACATTGATCTTTTTCCTCTGCCAGACCTTTTTAATGGGGGTTTACCAATCTTGCAACCAAAAGAGATTGTAGCATCCCGTGTTCTGCAGGAAAATGGACAACTGCTGCCACAGGTTCAGATCCTTTGGGATAGCATGCACAAGGAGGTCCTTACGTGGGAAAATGTCCAGGACTTTCAGCAGCAGTACCCTTCTTTCAACCTTGGGGACAAGGTTGATTTCAATGGAGGAGGTATTGATACAATAGTAACAGATGAAGAGCAATTAGAAGAGGAGGATCAAATAAAAGAACAAAGCATTGCACAAAGGAAAGGGACATGTGTGAAGGAAATACCAATAAGGTTCAGAGATGACGTGTAGACATTAGGTAGTTACACATTGTTGTATTGAAAGTGACGTGTAAAGAAAGAGAGGGAAAGGTAGAGTTAGTGGAAAAGTGGTTAGAGGTAGTTGGAGTATAAGAATACAGATCAGTGATATACATTGTATCTTTGATAAAATTCAATAAACCGAAGCATTCTTTTCTCATCTTCATTCTCTGATTTCTTTCTTCTCTTCTCCAATTCTGTTGATTTTCCTTAATAGTAGAGACACTCTCTACCAATGTCTGATCAGTAATACTCTACTCAATAGTGTATAATCTGTAAGACATAGTGTAGTTTGTAAACAAAAAATTTGTAAATATAACATTCCTCATAAAACATATAATAGTGTGTTATGTTCTTTTTTAATTATTTTCTATTGATCAAAGGATTTTAAAAAAATTATAAATATAACATTTCCCCTAAAACATATAATAGCGTGTTATGTTCTTTTTTAATTGTTTACTATTGATCAAGGATGTTTTATTTATTATAGTTTTAATTATAATAGCCTGATCAAGCCTCTCATTTTTAAAAATAACTCAGGTCAATTCTATAATTTAACTTTCCGAACATAATTTAACCCACCTTATTCACAATTTTATTCTTACATATCTCAAACACATATATTGATGTTGTCCGGGGGGTAGGGTGAGTTCATGGCAGGAGCCCACAATTAATAAGCTAAGCTACATTAACTGTAGCAAGTGAGTCCAATACAATTTCTCAAATCAGAACCTTAAGTATTGGGTACATGGATCCTCCTACTTATATGGTCTTCTCTTAGCCCATAACCAACCAATGTGGGACTCCATCACACTTGAATAACCCAACAATCTCCCTTCAAGTGTGAAAATCCACATTCATATGCTTCCCCCAGTACTTCAAGCTCGAGTACTCAACTTACCTCTAGCAAACATCAAGCTAGCTCGAACCTAACCTGGCTCTAATACCACTGTCAAGCAGGTCAGAGGGAGCCCATGGCAGGGGACCACCATCAATGAGTATTAACCAATATTGTACCAGAGGCAATATTGGTTTTACTGATAGTTAATTTTACTGTTAGTTAATCAGTTGTTAGTTACTGTTAGTTAATTTCCAGCCTTACTTATATCAGCTTCATTCCTTTATAGCTGATATATATATATATATATATATATATATATATATATATATATATCATTCTGTAATGTACAATATTCATTCAATTCAATAATTAATTTAGTTTCGCAAGAATCTATGATGGTATCAGAGCTCTAATTGAGCTCTGGTATTCTGCAAATTCTCATTTCTTGATTTCCTTCTTGTTCTTCTCCTTCTTCTTCTTTCTTTGCTATAATCATGGCAAATCCAATTCCAAACCTTCCAGAATTCATAACAAACCCTTCTAATCATTACTACCTACACCCAAATGAAAATCCCTCGTTAATACTTGTATCTCCTCCTCTCAATAGAAGAAATCATCATACCTGGGTGAAAGGAATGAAGATGGTGATAAAATCTAAAAATAAGCTATCCATTGTTAATGGTAGCTTGGTGGTACCTGCTGAAGAAGATCCATTATTTCCAGCATGGGACAGATGCAACACTATGGTCCTTTCTTAGATCCACAAGTCAATCGATGAATAAATTGCTCAATCCATATTATGGATGGATAAGGCCATTGATGTATGGAATAATCTCATAGAAAGATTTTCACAGAATGACATATTCGGAATTTCTGATTTACAAGATGATGTTACCAAGATTCAACAAGGAGATAGAACAATATCAGAATATTTTACACATCTCAAAACACTATGGGATGAACTAGAAAGCTTGCAGCCTTTGCCAACATGTGTTTGTGGTGCTCTTAATCCAATCAAAGAAATTCGAGAACGTGATTATGTCATCAGATTCCTCAAAGGACGGAATGAACAATTTGAGCATGTCAAGACACAGGTAATGCTACTAGAACAACTTCCAAATATTAACAAAACGTTTTCTTTGATAGTCCAGCAAGAAAAAAGGTTGAATCTTGGAGTTATTTCAAATGAGCCAATTGAAAATCAAGCTATCATCAATTTAGCTGAGCAACAAAGGCCCACATTTCAAAATCGAGGTGAACGTATCAATGGTGAAAGATTCAATGCAAGACGTGGACGTGGCAACAAATTATGTGTTCACTGCAAGCGCGCAAATCATACAGTGGATACATGCTACATTAAGCATGGTTTTCCACCAAGATATCACTCATTTAAAGGATCAAATGTTGGACCACATTCTGCAAATATAATAAATCAAGAATCTCAAGATGCAGAGAAGAGTTTTCTTGATAATCAAAACCAGTCTTCTGATATGAAGATCACAAAGGAGCAATATCAAGATCTAATGCACTTGCTTAAAAGATCCAAAGAAGGAGAACATTCAAGTTATATGACTAACATGATAGAAGCTTCAGCCTTTAATGCAGAAATATTCAAGAGGCAATATTGGTTTTACTAGTTTTACTGATAGTTAATTTTACTGTTAGTTAATCAATTGTTAGTTACTGTTAGTTAATTTTCCACCTTACTTAAGTAAATATACTAATGATAGGTGCAGTATATATATATATCTTCTATCATATGCAAAGATATAAGTTTAAGTAAATATACTTTTCGACGACGAATTAATCCTTGAAGTGGGAATAGTGACCATTTTGCCACTGTTCATCATAAAATTTACCAGAATGCCACGCGCACAGTAAAAATTCCCAAACTGCCACGCAGGCTAATTCGCTACACAGTGTAGCGAATTAAGCCTGCTGATGTGTCACCTCCCCACTGGTCCACGTATATCGCTACACAGTGTAGCGAAATACGTGGTCAAAAGGTCAACCTGGTCAGTCACCTTTTGGACACGTGTCAAGCCACCCATATTTCGCTACACTGTGTAGCGAAATACGTGGCAACGGTCACCTGCTGCACTGCGCATGTCAGACACTTGGCAGCTTTGCACAAATTCGCTACACAGGGTAGCAAATTATGTGCAAGTTTTTTCCTATATAAATCCCACGGTCCCCACCCCTCCCCCACCATTTCCTCTCATCCTCTCCCTCACTCCCTCTCTCTCTAAGTGCTTTCTCTCTCTACAAGGTTAGTATCTTTTTTTTATTGCTTTTATAATATGTTTGTTTAATTAATTATGTTTTTATAAATGTGTTATATTATTTTATATTTATACTTGAAACAATAGATTAGTAAATATGTTATATTATTTAGTGTTTAGGCTTGAAACTTTAGGTTAGTAAATATGTTATATTATTTAGTGTTGATACTTGAAACTTTAGGTTAGTGAATGTGGTATATTATTTAATGTTGATATTTCCAACCTTAGGCTAGTAAATGTGATAATTTTAAATCATGCATAAATGATTAGGTATAATTTATTTAATTTATTATTTAAGCTTTAATACATGTGTAATGTTATTTAATTTTGGTTTTTGATAGCTTAGGCTAGTAAAATGTGTTAATTAATTCCACGTTATAATGCTTAGGCTAATATAAATAATTTTTTATTTATGCTGTAATATTTTGTGAATATTATTTAATGTTGGTATTTGAAACGTTAGGTTAATAAATGTGTGAATTTATTTTACGCATGAATGAATGATTAGGTCTACATAATTAAAATTTTTAATTAATTTATAAACGTTAATAATTTATAAATTTAGATTTAGGGTTTAGGGTTTTGAAACCTTAGGCTAGTAAAATGTGTTAATATTATTTAATGTTGGTATTTGACCCATTAGGTTAATAAATGTGTTAATTTATTTTACGCATAAAAGAATGGTTAGGTCTACATAATTAAATTTTTTAATTAATTTATAATCGTTAATAATTTAGAAATATTGTTTAATTCTTAAATTTTTGAAACCTTAGGTTGGAAATTATGTGAATCTATTAACGCATCTACTCGTCGTCGATCTGCCAGTTAGGTGTTTGTGCTCCATTCATATCATCCAATTCTTGATCTGGATATTCCCAATTAACATTCGTGAAATGGCTAATTCCAGACCAAAATGGTACATTATCATTTCCTGCATAATAACATATCCAAAACCCCAATATTAATGTCGTTTTATTTTGATATTAGATATTTTATTATGAAGCATTAATCCTTTCGTACCTGCAACAGAAGGATCTTGCATTCCGACAATGCCTGGCGATGGAATTGGTTGTTCAACTGCAGTAGACGGACAATAATCAAAATCACCATCGACATCTGTATCCGATGACTCGCTATCTGGAACAAGACCTTCATCACGCTCTTCCTCGGAACTATCCGTACGCCAAGATGGATCGTACATGTCGTTGGCTGGAACTGCTTCATAAAAAATTTCTTGAGTTGGTGGTGCAAGCGTTGGGGACGCGACCTTAACTTCCGGATTAACCACTGGCACCATGTTTATGTCGATGATGTCAGTGCATGGATTGCTCGGTTGACTGCTGGATTGTCCACCGTAGTTGACTTCTGCATACAATTCAATAAATCTTGACTCGCCGTGTTCAGAAGTGCTTGCATCTACTACTAACGTTACATCTTCATCGTCGACAATTTCCACACCAACCCATTGCACAGGGTTACCCGAGGTACATCTAGCGGTCAACCGAGCAAGAGTTTGACCACGTTGTAATCTCAACTTCTTGTATATTAACTTCTTTAGCTCGTGAAGATTGCATCTTTGGCTCATGCGAAACATTTTTGCTGACCTTCAAACACTTGCCCGTTTGGACCAAAGTATTTTCTCCCATTATAATAAACAGTAGCTATTAAATCATTCCTACCCTCACTCATCCTACAAAAATAGAAAAAAAAACTAAGATTCAACAACAACACAAAAGTAGTAAACCTTAACATAAAAGGAAAATTTTCGTAGTGGTGGTTCACACCTGAAATGGACTTATTTATAACTCTTAATTCGCTATTGGGGGTAGCAAATTAATGCTCATGATTCGCTATGCCCCCTAGCGAATTAGTGGGGAGATGACACTTGGCAGATATAACATATTTCGCTATGACTCATACCAAAAATAGCCACATAATCCGCTATGTAGTACAGCGAATTATGTGGAGAAGTGACACGTGGCCTGACTTTGAGTTGACATGATCTGACCCTTCTGATACATAATTCGCTACACAGGTTAGCAAATTATGTGTCCAACAAAGATGTGACACGTGTCCAAAAGGTGACTGACCAGGCTGACCTTTTGACCACGTATTTCGCTACACTGTGTAGCGAAATACGTGGACCATTGGGGAGGTGACACATCAGCAGGCCTAATTCGCTACACTGTGTAGCGAATTAGCCTGCGTGGCATTTTGGGCATTTTTACTGTGTGCGTGGCATTCTGGTAAATTTTATGATGAACAGTGGCAAAATAGTCAATGTTCCCTTGAAGTGTCTAAAGAACGAAAACCTAGGTGAAAATATAAGTACTAAATACCCTAAAAAGGTAAATTAAAAAAGGGTTTTATACTTCTTCTTTTATAGAAGAAGTTTAACCTTATTCCACTTTCACTTTGAATTTTGAGCTTTTTTTTTAATGTGGGCCCTATTTGGACTCTTCTCGTGTAAAATGAGAAGTATATTGTCGATTAAAAAAACTAAAACTCAATTAAAACTATGAGATCAAAAATCATGTTCAAGCATAAATAAAGTTACGATTCTGCTTAATTTGCGGATGAAATTCAATTTCCACTACCCAAAATTGTGCCAATGGTAAAGAACCACCTCAACCTAAAACGGTGTTGGGTGAGGGCGTTTGTATTATTTTCTAACACACCCCCTCACGCAAGGGCCTTGGGCTTGAAGCATAGGTAATGCATAGGTCCAATTTTTTTTCTTTTTGGTTTATCTATACTTATTTTATTCCACGAGTGAAGAGCGGTGAGGATCAAACTCGTATAAGCTTTGATATCATGTAAAGAATCACCTCAACCCAAAACCTTAAGGTGTTGGGTAAGAACCTTTTTAATAGTTTATATTATTTTCTAACAATAATCCAAGTATGCCAAATATCATCGCTAACAGTCAATTAAATACTTATATTAAAAAAACAAAAAAAAAATGAAGGGAAAAGTGTGTACCATTTGGAAGGACATAAAATTGGGTAATTTTAAGTGAGAGAAAGAGATAAATCATGGAAGAGAGAATAAGTGGAAAAAGTTTTAAAAATATGGGTCTCACCTCTTTATAAGAGTAAAAGGATATAAGATAAATAGTAAAAGGATATAAGATTATGAGAGTGAAAGAATATAAGATAAGTGATTTAAAATGACACACCTTTTCTCCAAAATGAAATCTAGTTCTCGCACTTCTCTATGAAACACATCTACGAGCCCAAAGATGTAAGCGTGTCAACGGCGTTCTTTTAAAGACATTTAATACAAATAAATTAATAATAAATTGTGATCGTGTAGTTACAACTGCATAAAAGAAAATTTCAACAGAAATCCTGGCAGCGATTAATGGTGTTCTTTTAAGGAAATTTAATACAAAAAAGTGTGTGTGTATATATATATATATATATATATATATATATATATATATATATATATATATATATATATAGGTAAAATAAGGGAAGGATTACGTTTACGACTTTATTTGTTTACAACTCTTACAACCTCAACTATGTTCTCCCGGGAGAACACTCTCCAGTAGTGTCCTCCCGGGAGAAGATAGTTGAAGTTGTAAGAGTTGTAAACAAAAAAAGTTGTAAACGTAACCTACCCCGTAAAATAATATCTAAAGTTATTATGCGTGCAGCAATGATAGGTGTATGGTTATGATTTCTCACATTTAATGTTTTAACGTATATATGAAATTTATCACTGCTGCACGTAAAGTGGGAAAAATCGAACTCATATATATATATATATATGGTAAAATCATTTTTGCAGCCACTTTACGTACAACAACGATATGTGTATGGTTATGATTCTCCATATTTAATGCTTTCATCCTTTGTATGATTATGATTCATGCATTTAATGCTTTCAAGTATATATATGGCAAGTATTTGATTGTTGTACCTATAGCAACTGCAGAAATGTAAACCTCTATATATATATTAAGATGAACCAGATGCAATTGGGAAAAAAATTGCAACGGGAATCATGACAAAGATTGATGGCATTCTTTTAAATACATTTAATTCAAAAAAAATTATTAATAACAAATTGTGCCGGGCAATTACGGGTGTGCGTGACATTCATTTTTTTTCCCTGACACTGTTTTAAAAAAAAAAAAAAAGATTTCCTATTTATGTGCCTTGGAACGGTTTTTGACAAATAAAAAAATGTGTTTGATAACATGTTCTATTTTTATTCTGAGAATGAGAATTGTGTTTGATAACACAACAAATAATATAATAAAAAATATTCCTATTAAGCTGGAATTTTTTTCGGATCATCACTTTCCTTTCCATATGGCGACATTGGTGGTGGTGGTGGTGGTG